TGGCACCGGAACCAAATTTTTAATATGGTTTTACATCCCCGAGAGCTTGCCTTTGTGAAAGACTGACGTTTAACTTGTAGACAGTGACATGACAACCAGTTAGTCCCACACAGGGTAAATCAGAGCGGCATACCGTCGTAAGCAAGTAAGACCCAGCATGACGGAACGCTTCGTGCCTTCTGTCAGTGTCTACAGAGCACTGACCGAGAACACGGAAAGGCGCCCCCGAAAAGTGGGTGTGGAAAATGGCCTACTTGTGTCGGCGCTGCGAACTTCTGTGTGGAGAAGCATTTCAATAGATCGCGGACTACAATACCCACTCTTCTGAGATGACAGGGACAATTTGCTGGCCTTTCCCTTTCTCCAGCATCCAATGAACCAGTGGTTGGGAATGAAAAATAATAATTACACGCAAAAGTACAAAAACATATATCTTTTGGTACTTTGTAATTATTATTTTACGCTATTATTTATGTTTATAACAAAATAATAATGAGAAGAGATTAATATAATAGTTACAAAAGAAAGAACACACATGGATTCATTTCCGAAGAAAGGTAGTATTTAGATTTATATAATATTTTATGTTTTTGTTCAAACAATCAAATTTGTCAACATTTGTCAACTTCAGGTTATCATTTTGTTGTTACGAGAATCGCGCTGCGTTTTTAAAGGTTGCAATCCGCAAGTCGAGATCCTTGTTTGTCCGTGATTTGGTTCGTTGATGGAAAAGTTTGCAAAGCGGAAGGGCAGAAGATTGACATAGATTGTTTCTCCGAAACGTTGGCATCAACCGACGACACTGCACGCCGCCAAAACTCAGAACAACATCAGCAGGCAAACTATTTTTTCGGCAGAAACCTCTCCCGTTACAGGTTTCTAGCCTTGTCATATCTAAGGAGAATCGTAATTTTACTGCGACAAACGAATATGTGAACCTGATAACACCATCATTTGGTTTTCTGCAACAAACTGCGGCGATAACTGCAGGATGGGTTCAAAGACCTTGCAGACAGATGATCGTTGAGCTATTTGAGCTGTGTAAGGTCTTATCAGGTCCTCGTGGCGTCTTCCCGCTTCCCTCTCACGCCCGTTCACACGAATGGACCATTTAGAGCAGGGAGGCGCGAGTTAAACCTGCCTCATGACCTTCAACCTTTCATTGGAAGAACACGACAGCCACGTGAAGTAAATTTGAATCGATGCAGACAACATGAAATTAGGGCAAAATTTTGTGCTGAAATTCGTATCTAAAATAACCGAGTATGAGAAAATTACGCAATGGGGAAACTTAATAAAAGCGTATCCTTGTTAGTAATGTTAAGGACTCCGCTTAAGCCTTCGATTGTGGCTTGAATTAAAGTGGTATCAACTGCGTGCACATTATTTGACTTTCTAAACAGGAAATCGATCTCTCCCTAGACCGGATCGCGTGCGTGTTATGATCAGTCCCGGTCAATTTTGAATCACGGGGCACCAACAGCTTTGTTAAAAGCCTGGCTTGTGCCCCGATGTGCTGACGAAACGACTGCAGCACCAGAAAACAATTCAGTAATGTAGCTAATCACTCACTGGGCTTCCGTGTCCCATCCTCTCTTGCTTCTGTGGGCCTACTTTTCCATCCGGCAATGTCCCGATGTTGAAGTCCCTACAGACCTTCGCTGTGGACTACAACTTCGTTTGACTATTGCTATGAAGGAAAGACAGTGAGTTACTTCCTTGACGGCTCTACTGACAGCATGAAACATGGTTTATTACTGCGAAATTTGGTTTAATTTGTAATCTTCACCATCTAGATGGGGTGAGTGGTCAGCATCACGCCCCGGAAAGGACCCCGGTATCCATTGGATAGGAGGCTGGGTGGGCCCCAAAGCTGATCTGGACGCAGATGCTATAGGAAAAAAAATCCTCTGCTCGGCGTCGGGGATCGAACCCCGGTCGTCCAGCCTATAGCTATTCACTATACTGACTGAGCTATCCCGGCTCCACTCAACATATATTATTGGTTTCGACAAATGAAGGAGGATGAGATGGGCGGGGCATGTGGCAGGCATGACAGGAAGGAAAAATGCATTTGAAGTTTAGCCCGGAAAACCCGAGAGGAAGAGTGGATTCGTATGTCTCAAGACAGGCACCAGAGCCGGCTTTTGTGAATACGGTAACGAACATGTGGGTTGGTCGTTCTTCATACGCACACACACACATATGAATGAGCTATTGACCTCATAAATAACCACAAACAAATTAATATAAATAAGACTGCTTTGTAACTCTGAGTCAAGGAAACACTGTTATGAATTTTGAATCGGGTACAAATCAAGAGATTCTGTTTGCTATTTCAAATGATATGGAAGCAGTGGACGAAGGCACAGCAATGATCACATCATGAATGCGAGAAAACGAGATTAAAAAGTGGGTCATCCATATATCATTCCGTCCATCCTCTACATTGTTTCCGTTAAGTCTCATCAGAGCAAGTGTGGGCCATGTATGTAGTTTTCGCACGTGCCATCCAGCCGCGGTTCAATGACAAACTATTATTCTCAGGCAAAGTTTCGATTCCTCATGTCAACTTTTTGACAGGAAAGATAATAAAAACTCAAGCGACAGTACGGATCGAGTAAACGTTTATCAACGACCGTGACATTTGTGATAACGGCGGGACGTCTTGAGTTTGTCTGTCTGCACACAAGTATTAGTATTGAAAAGTTGCTGCTCAAGGCTCTAGCATACCCCAGCTAGCAGCACAAGTCTGTCGGTTGTGGGTTCGTGTCGTTATCTACACAAGCGTGCATGGTAGTCGTTGCTGTCGTGAAGAGAAATACGCCAGCGCGTTTTGCTAGTTCCCGTCATTGCATTCCGCACAAACACTCCTCAGCTATTCATAGCTCACCATGAGGTGTACTGTATTTATGCAGAACTAAATTACAGCATCATATATATTTATTTACGTATTTATATTTGTTCAGAAGCTTTTGTACCTTTTCATACTTCAGTGCAACAACTATTTTCCTTCATGTCATGGTTATAAATCAGTTTTGTACTAAGTAAGAGTCATAATAAAGTGACAAGTATATCTATAGTACTACGTAAGCGTCATAATAAAGTGACAAGTATATCTATGACACCACTCAAGTCGTTTAATCTCGGAGAATAGCAGCGATACATCCGACTGTGGTGAAATCTAAAATATTTTTGGCTGTGATAAAGTTCTTACAACACAATGCTGCCCGTAGTGTAGGAATAATTATTACTGTAGACCAATAGTAAAAGTAGATTAACAGAAACGGGTTTTTATTAAGTAGCCACGCGAATAAACGTTTCATTTGCTGGTACCTGTATCGAACCCGACTGCTTATCGACAGTTTTAATAAACCAAAATACCGCGTCTTTCTAATTAATATGTTCGACAAGAACTTATTTCCCGCCTTTAAGATAACTTCAAGCTAGTGAAAGCAATTTTCGAAGCAAAATTAAAACGCTGCTCAAATACTAATGCAGAATCTTACGAGTTCCAAGGAAGTAACAAGATACAGTAGTCGTCCACTAGTTTCAATATCTGAAGACCCAGACATTAATCTTCAGAATCTGAGTATGATTAGCTGGTGTCTGCTATCACGTACAATGACGCCTAAGAACCTTGCGTGGAATATGATGATGATGATGATGATGACTGATTGACAGACACACGTTGGGCCTTGTCTCGTGCGTCTGTGCGACGCATAAGAATCACTTGAGGACAATCAGCCCCGTGATTTAAACAACGGAAATAGCTCCATTGTCACAGAACTAGAACTTAAAATGTGTTACTGTGCGCCATTAATATTGTTCTGTTGAATATAAACCGAGTAGAAAAAAAATGCGGCAATTACATAGAAGAGTTTTAAGACGAAGCTCGCCTAAATAATATTTAAGAATTCAGTCCGTACCTCGAAGAAAACACTTTTCCATTGTCATCTGATGAACACTGTTTCAGGAAAATAGATGTTTCAGTAACTTGTGAAAGTCAACAGAACCAGCAAATAGAACATGCAAATTTGCTTATTGTTAATGTAGGTCGCACACGTTTATTGAAGGTTTAAAGTATCAACGTAATTACGGTGTAAGTGAAAACACACTAATAAAAATTCCAGTTTCACATGTAGGACTGCAATGTATTTTCGATCCCTTGTACACACAATGCATTTACAAACTGATTATGGGAAGAATGAATTCTTTAAGACAAACATTAAGAAGTTCTTGGCCTACCACACGTCCCAGTGAGCTCCACGGACTAATTTGTAAAATTAAAATATACTTACTAGTACTACCACAGTGAGAACCACTAATACCGCTACTCATACCACCAACTCCACTGAGCAGGGTCCTTGAAACGATAACAGTGCCCTACCACCTCTTTAAGGAAATTTCCACCTTTTATAGAACATGAAGTTTCTTTACCGCGCTCACAAGAGTCCACCACCGGTCCCTGCCCTGAACCAGGTGAATTGTCCGTCCAAGCCTGAGGCTCTGTGTAACATTACGTAATGTGTTGTTTCTTACAATGTGGAGTTATTTGTCGCCTAACCCCCAAGTTAGAGAACCACCCTTTGTCGGCAGTCCGTAGCGACCCTCCATACCTGGAGGCTCTCTTCCATCCGAAACCTGAGGACGCAGCATGCAGTGGTAACACGTGACCCACTTAACATACACGCCTACTACTACGAAATACTGAAATGTACTGACCAAATATTGAGACGATGGTAAAGAATCAGTGTCAAGATTCTTAACATCATTCAGTTCATGGTATAAAAATCTTAAGCATTATAAACAACTTTTATTATTTACTGAAAACGAAATATAAAAATGTGTTCAGAACAGGCCTATTGTTCCTATTCGTCTTGGGGCCTGCATGGAGTTTTAGCTTTTTAAATTGACTCTCTGGGGTTAAAGGTTGCTCACCATGGGTTTATTATGATGATTCGTTTAACGGCGCTGTTTCATTTGCCTTGATCACGCAGCGTAGAATGGAATGTTCACGAATTGGAGAAATGTGGACGCGCAAGAGATAGCAGCTTGTCCCAGCGTTTGGCTGCGGGGACCAGGAAAAGCACGAAAGACAAGACAGAGGTCCTCCGGGCCCACACTTCCAGAATACGAAGCAGGTGCGGTAATTACTGAAGTCTGACGTACGGTGCCACCAATTCTGTGTATTTAATTGTATTTACTACATTCCAACGCTTGCAGTAACACGGCCGTTAGGCTCAAAATGCAGGAAGTAGCGGGACGGAATAGAGTCCTCCTTTGGGCGATTTTAAATAGCTCTGCTCTCAAGAAGTTCCTCGCGTTGTGTAGGGCCCGAGGATTCATTACCGTGTTCACAAGAGCCTATCACCGAACTAGATGCATCGACTAGCACCCTTATGTTCTGTTAAAGGCCCACTGTAGTGTCACCATACCATCCACGCCTAGATCTCCCCAGTGTTGTTTTCCTGCCATGTCAGATTCGGTATCTCTTAGAGGGCCACTCAGAAGAGGGGTAACTATTCCAGGTGCTGTCACATGGGTGGGAAACATCATCGCCGACTACGTTTCCTGACTCCAAGCTTCAGCTTTCGCCCAGTGACAGGCTTTTGTTAACACCGTAATGGAACTTCGGGTTCCACAAAAAGCGCGGTATTTGTTTAGCAGCTGAACGACTGTAAGCTTCTCAAGGAGGGCCATGATCTATGGAGTTAGTTACAGACATTAGACTAATATATAAATTTATAGTTATTTATTTCGTCTACAAGGTCGAAAATAAAGCAGTCACGCTGTTGAAAGTACTTGGACGGATTCCAATGCATTTCTTAGCGAAGGTCAGACACGTTATGTGATGAATCACGATAATCCTGATCTCATTCTATATGATAAGAAAATTAAAGAATCTGCAAAGTTTTTCAGTCTGCTTCCTTTACGTTCCATATGCTGCTACTATAACATCAAAACAGCAGTAGGAACTACTACTACTGCTGCTGCTACTACTGCTATTGCTACGACTACTACTACTACTACTACTAACAACAACAAAAACAAAAGTAACAAGCTCCGAAAGTCTATTGCGTACCGGAATGCACATAATATCCTCATGCATACTTTGCAACGGCCATTTAGAAGTATTAAATCCGCGTTGATGAACAGTTCGCAGTTTGGCCACTTGTTCGCAGCACCTCAATGTCTACCTCTTTCATAATTTTGTTAACACCACTCCTAGGATATTCAAGGGCACGATCTTGAGGTCGTGTAGAATAGCACAACCTCCACATTAAATTTCATCCCAATTCGTCCAGTGGTTTTCGAGTTGAATCGACTGGACAGACGGACGGATACGACCAGCCCATAATGCGTTCTTCCTATATACTTAGTGCGTAATAATACGAAGCCCAATCAGAGGTAGGCCAAAGAGCATGATGGTTAAGAACCAGAGGGTTATTCGTTTCAGAACCCGGGTGTACAAACGATTCAACGTTTTAAGTATTGACGAAATATATATTGTTGGTTCGTATTTTCGTTCCTTGCCACAGCCAGTATCGAATCAGCTGCACTACATACCAAGGCGTGCTTTGGCTTCAATGCATCTGCATGTCAACAAAACGAACTGACAAACGTCGTGGCGCAGTACAGCAGTTACAAGTTGTATTAATACCAGCTGACGGGTTAATTATGGTCTTCAAAGGATGCTGAAGACAAACGTCTCGTGTATTTTTGTACAGGGCGAACTTTATGGGTGGGTGACCAATCCAGGAATTTATAGAACTTTAAGTTCGCATGTGCACGGTTATGAGTTATGAAAAATAAAGTTTACTTTGATACGGTAATTTAAAATGCAAGCAAACATTAACACTTAAGTCACAAAGATCTTTCTTTCTTTCTTTCTCGCTTACCCGTAGGTGTCGAGGTTTTATTTTTATTTATTCATTTTGATCTATTCGGACAATGGTAGGACTCCTTGGATGAGTGATCAGCCCGACGCAATGCCTCTACATATACAAACACAGAAAGACGCGGACAAACATCCATGCGGATTTCCGTCTTCTGGGTTGTTGCGCTGTGTAGTCTGGTCGATGTTTACCAACGTTTCAGAGGTCATAATGCCTCCGTCATCAGGGCGATGAGTATGAAGATTTCCGTCTTCTGGGTTGTAGCGCTGTGTAGTCTGGTCGATGTTTGCGATGAATCGCCCTGATGACGGAGGCAGTATGACCTCTGAAACGCTGGCTAACATCAACCAGACTACACAGCGCAACAACCCAGAAGACGGAAATCTTCATACTCACCGCTGTGAGAACCTCAAGTCTTACAAACATCCATGCCTTGAGTGGGACTCGAGCCCACGGTCCCAGCGACTAGGCCATGCCTCAGACCGCGTGGCAGTCACTAAGATTAATTGTAGAAATTATGCTGAAAATCTACAAACGCATTAAATTCCACCACTGATAATTTTTGTAATAACTTAGAATGAAGTTAATATGCAGCTGGCGGCTACTCTGTTATCATAGTCCTCAGGCTTGTTCCAATTCAGAATTAATCCGAAATTCTGAATACGTTTAGGAATTTCTCAGGGCATTTTGGGCGGGATAGCGGCGCATCGCGAAGCCAGAACCACGTAGAAATGGGTGAGTATGAAGTGCAGTCTTTTAGAAGTTTACCGGCGTTTTAGAGGTGTTTCAGCCTCCTTTATCGCATCTCTGAATCGTCGGAAAACATGTTCCAGGCCGCACGGCACAACATGCGAGATACGTCCATACTCGCGATCCATATTCGAGCGTCACAGGACAGCGAGCTATCGCGATCTACGGCAATGGCATCTTTAACAAGGTTGTAGAAACCCGTGGAACGGAAATGACGTGAATGAACAAGTATAATGAAATTGATATACGAAGAGTGAGAAGGAAGGGCGGACGCTATTATCCGTTGAAAACAAACTGAAGACACGGGCTATATACGAAGGAA